AAAAAAAAAAAAAAAGAGGAAAAAAAGAACTTGGTTGGAGAGGGGGTGGCTGGGGTGGGGACACCCAGGCCAGGGGGGCTAAGGACAGAGACGGGCGCACTTCAAGCACCTGGGGCGATGCCAGGCTTCCCCCAGGACGCTCAGTTAACCCTCCGGAGTCCGAACACATGATGTCCATTGCACAGGTGGGGAAACTGAGCCTTGGGGGCATTAACTTAGGCGTGGGTTGGGCCCAATGAGAAGGCCCCTGCAGTCGGATGCGCAAATATTTATACAGCGCCCACTAGGCGCCCCGACCGTCCCCAGTAGCCAGGTTGCCCCTTGACCCCGCCCAGACCCCAGTTTCCCCTCCCAACCCCTCGCCACCGCCTACCGGGATAGGATTCTAAGCCGCCCCACCAGACTGGAGAGTAGTGGGAACCACAACTCCCGAGAGGCCTTGCGACCCTAGAGGGCGGCCTCCAGACCGGAGTGGACCGGAAACTACAACTCCCGAGAGGCCTTGCGGCCCAAGCCGCGTGAGAACTGCGGAGGTGAGGGCTTCGCAGCTGTGATCACCTCCCGCGGAAGACTCGGGCTGCCCTTGGTGCCGCCGGTCCCGGGCTTCCCTGCCTTCAGGCGTTCGCTGAGGACACCCTGCGCGGGGCGCGGCGGGGGCCTCACCGGGATGAGGCGCAGGCGCAGTCCTCGCGGGTCGGGACTCGCGCACGCGCAGCGGCTGCGGGCGGCTGGGGCCATGGACGACGAGGAGGAGACGTACCGGCTCTGGAAGATCCGCAAGACTATCATGCAGGTGGGCGGGGTGCGTCGGGCGCGGAGGCCGGGGGTCCCCGAGGCCGGGGGCTGGAGGACCTGGTGCGAGTCCGGGCGTGGAGGCTGGGGCGGGAAGGGAAGGAGGCCGCGGGGCCAGGCACGAGGGCTTCCCCGAAGCCCCGGCTGGGCCCGACGCGCTTCCCCCTCTCTTTGTCGTTCATGCATTTTTCTGAGTCGGAGTCTCACGCCGTCGCCTCAGCCTCCCAAGTAGCTGGAGCTACAGGCGTGCACTGCTTTTGGTTTATTGCAGAGGCGAGGTCTCGCCAAGTTGCCCGGGCTGGTCTCGACCGGCGAGCTCAGGCAGGCCTCTCGCCCCGGCCTCCCAAAGCGCTGGGGTGATAGGTGTGCGCCATCGCGCCCGGCTGACTGCCTCTTTATTTTTATTTTTTATGTTTTTTTTTTTTTT